TAACATAAACATACTGCTAGGCATGCATGGGTACTGACTACCCCTTCGATATCTTTCAACCGGTATCCGGGGACTATTTCACCCTTAATACTACTAACACATATAATAGAGCATCCTAGCACATAAAGCATATCAGATAGTGGCAACCGAGCCAATTATCACAAAGACAATCATCTCATACATAAACACTTACTGGTGGGTCGGCATTGGTGTCTTAGACCCACCTCTACAGGAAGGTAACTCACATCAATGTCGTAAAGTGTCTGAACTGTCCTTGCTTCCGGAATCAATCCCTCTCAGATCTTACACATAACAATCTTCCTTAATTACCACTTCCTGGTCAACTTAGGTCAAAGTCAAAGTCAAGGTCTTCACCTTGGTCAAAGTCAACATCTAGTTGACTCAACTCGCCGAGTTAACCCAATAACTCGCCAAGTCCCCAACTCCTCAAAACACTAAAACCTCGACCCTACTCGCCGAGCCTTGCACGCACTCGCCGAGTTCTCCTTCATACTAAGTCGGGACCTTCTACAACTGACTCACCGAGTTCATCCTTGAACTCGTCGAGTCCTTCTTCATGCAAGAAGACACATTTATCCCTGGACTCGCTGAGTTCCTTATGAACTCATCGAGTTCGTCTTCATGCAGTTGGGACTTGTCTTGAACTCGTCGAGTCCTGTTGTTGAACTTGTCGAGTTCCATGATTTCCAGGTCCACAATGAGCCCAACTAACTGAGTGTTCTTCTAACTTAACACATTTTCCATTTTCAGAAGAGGTTTGGGGGAAACTGCGGCCCGACTCGCCGAGTCCCTCCTTGTCCATAAGTATTCAGTCGATTTTAGTTGGTCTTAATGCACCCAAAACATAGATTTGACCTCCTAGGGTCCATAATACACGTAAAGTTACAAACTTGACGTTTATGCATTGGGTATTTGGCCCAAATTGCCCTAAAATGGAGTCTACAAGATGCATGAGACTCTTATGGCAATAAAGTTGGCACCTTTTATGCCATGGGAACCCTCAATGGTCTCAGATCTGAAGTCATACCCTCTTAGAACCACAAAATCCCGAATATGGCTCTACTAAAGCTTAGAAAAGGTAGAAATGAAGCCTAACTAGAGATCTAAGAGATAGATGGTTAAGGTTGAAGCTTTTTACCTTGAATGAGCTGGAATTGAAGCAAAACCTCTGGATCTACTTGCTTCTTCTGGAACCCCCAAGCTTCCACTTCCTTCTTCAAGCTTTAAACAACCAAAAACACACAAAAATGGCTCAAGAACACTCCAAATGCTTTAGGGTTTCGAGTTAGGGATTTTTTGGACTGTGAGAGACGATGGAGGCTGAAGTGGGACAAGATAATGTGTTTAAATAGGGTGCAAACCCTAAATATTAGGGTTTCCTCCAGGCAGTCCTACTCGTCGAGTCGGACCCCCGAATCCAAAATCCAGTCTACTCGACGAGTTGAGCCTCTAACTCGTCGAGTCCCAGTGTAAAATGCAAATATTTATATTTAAAATACGTACCGGGAATCGGGTGTTACACCCTACTTGCAGTCTTCGATTACATCATGAGGATAATGGGCTTAATTGCTGTCAGATACATTAAAAGAGGGAAGAAGGTATAAAAATTTAATTTCCTCATTTAATTTGATGGATAGTTTTTAATTGCTTGATATTTGACTGAATTATGAGATTTACACCTGAAACCTTTTGTATCTTTATATGATTATATCACATTCAAATAAACACCCTTTTCTGCCTTGAGCCTGTTTAATATGAAAACGAACGAACATATGTTGATTGCCATGTTTGATTAGTCTGATTCTTTTGTTATTAGAATATTAATAGGTCATTTTGCTATTTTAGCTTTGTTTCTTATGCCTTGGTTGATTTGTATACCTGCAAACTCAATCAAGGTTAGTTTATTAGTGGTGTTTCATTTTTGGTGAGAGTTTCTTGTTCTTTTCTTCCAGCAACGCAATAATTAATTACGTTTAATTTCTTTCAGGAGTGGGTGAGAAAGTAAATTCAATTCCCCTCGGATGTCAACAAAAACTACATGCTAAATGAGGTAATTATGTACAAGTATCTATCATGATTTCTAAATTAACATATAATGGAATAAAAACAGATATATTTTTTTACCTTTCTAATTTATTGTAAGAACAAAATTCTTGGGGTTTTTCAAGCTGCCCAATCTGATACCACATATACAGGTACCATGTGCACGACTATCAACATCATACCCATCAAGAATTACCACTAGAATGCTCTGTGAAACTTATTTTTTGAAAAGTAGGTTTGAGAAAATTAGAAAAAAATATTAATTTTGTCACTGAATTCATCTGCAGCTGTTTGTACCTTTGATAAAAGTTGGTACCGAGTGTAAGTAACATTGTTTCTTTTAACACAATTCTGAATTTGTACTGTGAATTGTATTCATTGGTCTTATAGTATACACTTGACTTTTTTGACCTTCTAATTCCTGCTATCCTAATTATGATTGCAGCTCACAGCATCATCAATCATATAAGTAAATTATGAGCATATGTCACAATCATGTGAAGATAAGGGTAAGAATGTACCTCAATAAGTCCAAGGGCTATTATGTGAGGCCCGTATTTGAAATAATCATCAGCTTCTTGTGCATTGTAAACTTCTGGAAGTGGTTTTGTCCACATTTTAGAGATATATTAATAATACATTATATATATGTACACAAGGCTTTAAGGTCAACCATGATGAGATCTGTACAAGAGAGTTTTGTAAAGCAGATGGATTATTGTTAACATAAATGGCAAACATGGTAAAATGGAAACAATTTGAAGAAAGTGGTGCCAATGACGAACCTGAACAACTCCTTATGAACTTTCAATAATCAGGAAAAAGAAAAAAAAAGTATATATAATAACAATCATAATGTGAAAATGTTGTATGTTGAGTGCACTATGAAAAGGTTACAAAACGTTATAAACATGAATAACAAAGAAAACCTTAATAAACAATATAAAAGTATTTTACGTTGAATAGGTTGAACCAATCTAAAAAACTGATAAATTTGCAATTGAAATTTCGAACATAACTGATATTTTTCCCATCCAGATCATACACAGTAAAGGAAATCGTATTGGTTCATCAATGTCACTTCATAATAACAACACAAGTAAATGAAACTGTTCCCAAATACAAAATAACCGATCTACTGTAAATCAGAAGAAAAAAAAGGAAAGAAATCAACAAACTCATTGCAACAGTGGCGATGGAGAGCAACTGTGATTCAGGTAGTGGATTTGCTTGAAAGAAAATAGAATGAAGAAAAGGCGAGCCTAAAGAATCCAAAACCTGAGAAAGAACAATGAAATTTGTACATATGAAAATTCAAAATTAATTGAGAATACAAAAATCAAGAATCCTACCTGGTTTAAACAACGATGTTCAACCAATGTTCTCTTCTTCATATTGGTTATGGTTGATAAATGATATATGAATGATGAAATGAGGGATTTAGAATCAAAAGTAGAGAAAACATTTAGAAGTTACCTCGTGTGATGTATGTCCAGGGATCCAAAATTGCAATTGTTGATAGGCGACTTGTAAATTTTTACCATGGAATTAGAGTTTAAAAGAGAAAAATAGAGGAGAAAGATGGGACGATTAATGTTTTTGGCCAAATGGAGAAACTGATTTGCTTTCGATAAATAATTAGGTGTAAGACTCATGTAATACATAGGTTCATTTAAAAAGGTTGGCTTAAAAGAAAAATTAAATATAAAATTCTAAACATTTGAGAAGTTTGAATTTATAAAAAAATTAAAAAAATATTGAATTATTAAAATTAAATGTTTTTTTTAATTTAAACATAATTTAGATATATAAATAAATGAAACCAATGGGGCTTTAATTTATAAATTTTAAAATTAGAAGGAAAGTTAATTAATGAAATTGATATGCATTTATTATTACATTTATTGCAATTATTATATTTAAATATTATGTGAAATTTAATAAAATGGAAAAAAAACCACAAAATGTCATGTGAATTTTTTTTATTGAAAATAACTGCAAAATAACATTTGGTCAAATTAATGAGAATGCAACGTATGACAAAAAGATTTTCATTTATTAGAGTAGATTTACATTAATATTGGGATTATATAATATACTTCGATATATACAATATAACTTTCGATCAGTATACTCGTTTTGATGGGATCCGGTCTTTTTCTTTGTTTGTAATTTTCTCGTTTGTTTTGATTTTTCTTTTTCTTTATGTGTTTTACTTTTCTCCTTGCATCGTCTTGATGTGAGGTGTTTTTAATATATTTGTCGTTTCAAAAAAAAAAAAAAAAATTAGTATACTTGACGTTATTTCTAAATCACTTGTATTATTCCGATGGGGTACCTTTTTAACACCTAAAAAGTAAAATATAAAGAAAAAAACTAAAATTTATAAAATATACAATGTTTTTGTATTGTATTTTTTATTTATTGATTTTGTTAATTGACAGATCTTTTTCTTCATTGTCTTCATCGTCATTTTTAAATACCACTCATTATTAGTTAAACTACCATAGAATTAAATGCAACTACAAAAGAATTAAATGCAACAAAAGGTTAAGATTGTCATTTATTTAATAAAATTAGTAGTAATTAATGTTTTTTTAATCTGTGTTTTTTTGTCCGTGGACAATAATTTTGGGACGGATGAGTAATATTTAAAGATTGTAACTATTTGACTATAGTTCTTTACTTAAAAGGGCCTCATCACCATGGGCCTCAAATCTGCTTGGAGTGGCCCTTACACAACAACAAAGAACAAGGAAAAAGACCTCTACCATAAACTGCACTACATACATGATAGTATGATACATCACATCACCCAACAAGCAAAAAACAACATCACCAAACAAGCAAAAAACAGGGAAAGGGAATCACTTTTATTTCTAATTTCTGCATTCCTTATGTTATACAAACAAGAGAAATAGAATAAATTCCATTTCTTTCCTTTCATCCATACTCCTCTATTACATTGTCGTTCCTTCAAACTAACAGAAAATTCCACATCTTTTATATGTGGTTTCACTGTTACAGTTTACTTTGAATGTTTCTAATATAAATTGGCCTATAAATAACAAATATTTTCAAAAATCTTTCGCCATAAGAAGCTCAAAAGAACATTATCATTATGACGATAATCTGCCCACCAGAATGCCACCAAACACAATAGCTCCAAACCACTTGTTTGACACAAATCTACAACCCAAATCACAGAACCAAAATAAGCATCATATGCACGACAAAATAGCAACATACTTTACTCTTTTTACCCATAACAACAACATACTTATATTTTTTTTACCCATTAAAGACTTCAGTTATCATACCCATTATGTAAAATGACTTACTTTTTTTCAGGCTATATATTATTAGTCATTATCACTAGTAAAAAAATGTATTAAGTGCTATTATCTGTAAAAAAAAAAATATATGACTTACTTTCTACTGCAATCGGCTCCAGATGATGTGTCTACTGTCCAAATTTGCCATGCTAACTGGCCTGATGCCCCTGTCAAAAACACATAATATGGCCATCCTGTTTCACCCACTTCATATCAGTACATTATTATGCCATCAAACTTCAAACACATTATATATATATATATATATATATATATATATATATATATATATATATATATATATTTTAAAGATTCCAAGTTTAGAAAACCGATTTGCTCATACCAATAAAAAAAGTAAAAGTATTACCAAGATTTGCGTTGAAGCCACTGAGTGCAAGGCTACAAATGCAAGCAACTCCAAATCCAGTTACCCATTTCTTTGTGGAATCCCCAAATCTCAAGGCTGTAGACTTAACTCCCACTAACTTATCATCTTCTTTATCCTGTATATGTATATGTGTGTAATCAACATGAATGAACAATCTAGCATATATAGTTAGCTACTCTCTTTTACCTGATGGGCGTATATTGTATCGTAGACAAGTGTCCAAAACACACCAGAAAGATACAGTGGCAAAACAACAGCAGGATCTAGGCTTCCTCTAATGGCAGACCATCCTAATAAGGCTCCCCAATTAAAAGTTAAACCAAGATATGCTTGAGGCTGCAAACAAACATAGATGTTCATGTGTATCCTATTCCTACCAAAAAGACAAAAGATAAAATGGATTTGATTTTTTACCCACCCAAAATGTAATCCTTTTCATAAGGGGATACGAAAAGACAAGTAGCAATGATGAAGCACCCAATATGCGGCTGTATAACAAACAAAACAGAGTAGTAATCATCAAACTTTCTTCTATGGAAAATTATGCATATACTATATGGACCTACCTATAGTTGTTAAGCTGGAGAAGGATACCAAGACCCAAAAGCAATTGAAAACCAAGAAAAGAAACCCCTTGAAATGGTGTTAATGCACCACTTGCAATTGGCCTTGACTTTGTCCGTTCCACCTGCATCAATAAGCTAATTGATTCATTATTATACATATAATGATATGATCACAACATTATAAATTAACTTTTTTTCACCAGAGACACATATAATATAAGTTTATGTTTATAGACCTTTGTATCAATATCTCGGTCAAGCAGATCATTGATAGTACATCCAGCACCCCTTAATAGAAAAGCTCCACAACCAAATAGTGTCAACATCTTCATATCAGGAAGGTTTCCAGGGGAGGCTGCTAATGTGATTGACCTACATTACATATGAGTTAGGGTACATACAAGTTTCTGACATCATTGGCCATTCCAAGAAAGAACCAACTTTCTGTTTTATAGTTGCAATTTTAAGCAAACTGATCATCCTCCATTTTCAAAACTAAGAATATTGTTTATAAAGAAAGTCAAAAGTATAGATCTTACCACATACATGGCCAGGCTAGTAACCAAGTCCCAATAGGCTTATCCAGCCGAGCAAGATGTGCATAGGGCCGAATCTTTTCAGGCAAATACAAATCAATCCAAGAAGAAGAAGAAGAAGAAGAAGAAGAAGAACCCTTGTTGTTCTTCAACTCCTCATCACGTTTTGCCTTTTCTTCTTCATCCCTTAAACTATGCGAAGACGTGGAAATGCCACAACTCTGGCCTAATCTAATCAAATTAAAGTATTTAAACTTGGAGTTATCAAAATTAGGAATGTAAAATTCGTGATTTTGTCTTTGGTCAGAGTAATAGTGGTTTAAACTAGGTTTTGGAGGTGGGGGATTTGTTAGATGAGGGGAAATGGATTGAGAGAGTGTGAGTGAGATGTGCTGATGCAAGGGTTGAAGATAACGAGAAGATCGAGAGAAACGGAGTAATAAAGCCATCTTTAGCTAGGGTTATAGAAAGACAAGAGCTTGGGAAATTGATTTTCGCATTGAACTTTCTTTAATGTATGAAGTTCCTAGGAATTCTTCAGGGTTGTTTGGCAGGATATGAATTATTCATACATATGAATGGCACACAGCTGAAAAATCCACATCTGAATAAAACATACTGTTTCGTCAGACGTCTGAATAGTTGTGCTTAATAACAAAAATGAACATTTTACCTTTTTGAACTATTTTCTTCAAAAATTTCAAATGCATATAATACAATCTTTTTAGTAAGCATGTTAAGCGGATATAATGTATAATTTGCACAAAACTAGCGTATAAAAGTAAAATAGTTACAATTTTGGATAAAAATTATAGAAATAATGTATACAATCAGATCTGTTCTTGAACATGTAAATGAAAAGATATCACGACAACTGGAAGTTGATCGATTCCTTGCAAATCCATGTTGCTTGGGTGGTTTCTAAAGTCTAAACAGCCTGCACATAGAGCATGTCTCATAATGATAAAAATGCACAAAATATACATGAATTCTGATCATTGCTAGTATGATATTTAACTATCTTGCAAATAAATGAAGATATTTTTGCTTTGAAATACATATATCCAAATCAGTAGCTGTGAAACTCTAATTTCATTCTGAAATGGAGTCAAACATAGGTATGTTACTAGAAAAGAAACAAACAGAGAGTAAAGACATCCAACATTCAATAGTATACGCAATCCAGATAGGGGATCATCCAATTCAAACTTCATAAATTTTCAGCAAAATCAACAAATAATTTCATCAATCAAATGTGGAGGATAATTTTAGAAAATTTGCATCAGAACATAATTCGACTCAGAAAAAAAAATCAGCAAAACCAGCACAGATTCCTTGACATCAGACGTAATTCCATCAAATAATTTCAGCAAAAAACAGCTAACGATCGGTTTCAGCAAAAAAAAAAAAAAAGCAAATAATAGCCCGAATTCAGCATAAAAATCAGCGTATTTGGGGGAGAGAAAAAAAAAAGGAAAACTGAAGAACGGATATACCTGGAGCGACATCTGCTGTGCGACGGTGGCGCTGGAGGTATCGGAGGGTAGCGACGGAGATGCGAAGGTGTAGGAGGGTGGCGCCGGAGATGCGAAGCTGGAGAGCTGTGGAGGAGTGGAGCGTCGGAGGGTTGAGAGAGAAGAGGCGTCGATTGTTTCTACTTATTAAGATGGTGTATAACCAAACGCTCTGAATACAGATTCGGAGCTACCTCTAACAAAGTGATCGAAAAGTTTTCAATATGATCGACAAGTTTTGTGAGTCTTATCATATGTTTTCATGGTTAAGTAATAAGTAGTGTTAAGTCCCAGAGGTGGTTAATATTTGGTCAATCTTTGACTAATGAAGAGGAAGGATTAGGGTCTTTTACACTGTTGGTTCATTACGTTCGAATTTGGGCCGGTATGAGTTGGAAGTCTTGTTGGCTCATATGTGGGAGATGCTGATACCAACTACCAAGAATACTGATGCAAGAATTGAGTTGGATCATAAGTTGCATTTGGTTTGGTGGTGCATGGGTGTTGGGTCATGAGATATGGTACTAGGTTGGAAACTAGGTTGGTCCCTATGGAAAGAGGTTCGGCCCCAGATTAGAGGTATAAATTTTTAACTGATAAAAGACTGGACCCATTTTTTTAAGAACCAGTAAGAAATAAGTTTTATAAAAATTTAAAACCGTTTTATTTCGTTTTTTTTTTAAACCGAACAAAAACGGTTATTAAACGGAAAAATCAATTTTTTTAACGGGATTTCATTTTCAAAAAAATAAACCAATTATAACCAAAACCTTTAGAAAAAACGGTTTGAAACATGTTCAAGGATTGTTTTTTCTACCCGTTAGAAAAAACCAATCATAACCAAAACCTTAAGGATTGTTGGGCCTGAAATGGAAATAAGGTCATTCCTATGGGTTGGTTAGGAATAATAATATAACTATAATCGAATCAAAAGAAATTTAGTAATATTGTCAAATTTATTAATTACTTTGTAAAAAATAACAAAAAGAAAAAATTACACAAAATAGTCATTAATTTTATAGATGGATTAGGACTATCTATGAAATCATTATTCCATCTGCGAATGTACAAAACAGTATATGCACGTTTATGTTTCGAAGACTTGTACGTTTGCAGATAAAAAATATATCTGCAAATTTAGCATTAACCATTTATAAAACCATTGTTTGAAGTGTAAATATATTTTTTTAAATCACTCATTTTCTAGTTTTTTGGTTGGGAAAATTCTTTGAGGAAACAAAACCTCTAAAGGGCAGCCAAAATGGATATTACAAATTTACAATTTACACACAATGGTTTCGTTCCTCTTTTTCACATGTTAAAATAAAACCTTATTATTATTCATGTTAGATGGTCCTGAATACTATTTATATGTTTATTGGGCCTCAATGACCCATTAACATGCGCAACGGACCTTGGATACTATTTGCGTGCTATTTGAGCCTGCAAATACCTTACATGTGAAATGGGCCTTAGTTGTCCTTTTTACATATATTTTGGGCCCATGTTATATAATCTCATTCCTTGCGGGCCTGAAAATGACTTGCGTGTTTAGTGAGCCTCAGTGGTTCGCTTACATGGTTCATTGGGCCCGAAATGAGTTTTATATGTTTCTCTTCGCGTAAAATTCGATTAAGGATCTAGTGAGACGTGTCGGTTGACACCTATTGAGTGTACGATCGTAGCCTGTAGTTATAACCAGAGTCTCTTGGAGGGAGAGCGGGGGTTTGTGTATAGATCTATACGGGGATGACACCCCACACCTGAGCTGTTCGCTACAGTTAGACTACACCAGTCTAGGGTGACGAAAACGTTATTCTATTTTCTGTCGGCGTTCACAAACGCCAAGACAGGCGAAATTGTCATTATTTAGTATGGTTATGACGGCTCACTTAGAGGAATTAACATTTATGAAATTTACAGGAGACCATTCTTTTTCTTCTTTTACAGGCAACATAGGGTTGTCTGGGGGCATTCTCTTTACATTCTCTTCATTCACTTTTGGCATTATATTAAACAATAACACACATGCATTAATACTAGATCGGACACAAACACACTAAACTATTTTAAGAAAATACAGGATTTTCTTGTGATTACAAGGTTATACAAATCATTTTCTCAAACATGCTTATGAACTCACCAACATTTTTATGTTGACCTTTTCAAATTAACTTGTATTCTCAGGAAACCGCTGAAGCAGGTTGGGATGAACAAACTAATGGATGTTTTGTTATATTTCTATTTCATCAGACTTTAATTATTTTGACATGTAATATTCAAACACAATACTCGATGTAACCAATGTACGTTGTTATATTACATGTGTGGTGATGATGATGTTATGTTTCAATTATATACTTTGTGTTGATACTCCAAGGATGAAGTCACGCGCAAGCCCCCAAACATTTCTGCCGTCTAGTTCGGGGGTGCGACAAATACCCTTCTGATACATTTTCTATGTTTTTTTTTCTATTTAATATAAAGTTTTATTAATAAAAATTATGGGACCCACCTCTCTCTCTCTCTCTTTCTTTTTTTTTTTCTCTCTCTCTCTCTCTCTCTCTCTCTCCCTCTCACACATTCGTATCTCACCAGTTGAAGGAAAGAAAGCACCAGTGATTGTAACACCGGTCTAGGATGCTCACCACCACGACTGCCGCCATAGACTACCACAAACCCACCGGAAACCACCCTCGTCTGTCTTGGTCGAGCCCCACCACCATTCCCTTATTGTTTCTGTGGAGCAAGCTGTCAGGCACCACCCTACACCACAGTGTTCTTCCCCATCTTGCTACTAATCGGAGCAAACTGCCACCAATCTTAACCCACCTAATTTTTTGAACACCTCCTCCACCTCCCCATGTCGTGACCCACCACCAACAAACACCCTTCCCAAACACCTCCGGACCATAGCCTTGTTCCTCCCTGTCCTCTCTTTCGTCGAGCTCACCTGAAAAGAAAGGAAACGAAGGCAGTGAAGTTGCCACCATAGCTCCGTCACCACCCACCGTTGGCAAAACCCATTTCACCACCCACCACCGCTGTGATTGTTGGCAAAACCCACTTCACCACCCACCACCCACCAAACGCCTCCATCCTGTCGTAACCCACCACCACCAAACGTCATCGTCGCTGTTGCTTCGTCTTGGTCCCTCGCCGAGCATCCACCAATAGAAATGAAGCAGCAAGGCCGCCCACAACCACCAACCGCAACCACCCATCGCCGTCGCTGCCCTTCCACCGTCGTTGCAGTCCGCCACCGTCTCTGCAGTCCTCCAACTGCGACCCACCATTCCTCCGAGTTTCAATTTGGGGTTAAGAATGTAATTTAAAGAGGTGGAAAGATGGATGGTGGTAGCGGTGTTTCTTGGTGGCCGGAAAACAGCTCCACCTCCGATGGGGTGTTCGTGACTGTAAATGAAGAAGGTGGGGGGAGGGGGAAGTTGGTCTGGTGTGTGTGTGTGTGTGTGTGTGTGTGTGTGTGTGTGTGTGTGTGTGTGTGTGTCTTTATTTAATATATAAAAATACTTTTAAAAAAAGAAAATGGAAAATAAATCTAATAAGGGCAATTTAGTCATTTCAATTTTACGAGGGACCAAATCTACATACAAACATGGCCAAAATGACCACAAATCCAAAAAAGTCGCGGTTTGGACCAAAAACCCAAAAAAAATACATACCACAGGGACCATTTTTGCAATTTTGTCAAAAAAAAAAAGAAAAAAAAAACCTATGAGAATGAGAGGACCATTTGTCAAATTTTACCTATTTTTTAAACTTTTTGACTTTTTGACCTCATAACAAAACCTTTTTTTATAATGAAATATCTATCTGCGTGGTAAAAAACCAGTTCTTGATTATGACGAGTGAAGGGGGAAGACAGGCGAATTAAATCCTCTCATTCAATGCCATCAACAACACAGTAGTGACAGTATTCAATTCGGTTTCTGTATCAGCTACTGCAACTGTAGGTAAAATCTCAATTTAGGGTTTATAGAATGCTCTAATTGATTTTATTCCTCTAATTTATTGCACATTCAGCCGTTTGATCATTGAATTCAAAAAACAATATGATATTATAAGAGAAAAGAAAATCCAAATATATACGTTTATCGTCGAATTTATGATCACAACATTCATCATATTACCTCTGTCTGACGCCATTTATATCACCTTTTGTCGTTTTCCGAAACGATTACCAACAACAGTCATGCCATCATTTAATGACGAGTATATCTTCTTGTATTTACCACAAGGCGCATGAATGATTTACACGAACTTGTTACGAAATTGTGTTTGGTGTGAAGTGAAATGTGTATCACTTTCTTAAAGTGATTGTGCTATTAGTTAGACATGCTTTGAGTGTTGTTGAAATTAAGAAATAAACATGAGAATGGTCTATGTTGGTAATGATGAACATACAGATGTTCATGGACAACACAAGCGTTCTAAGAGGTGAATTTCGTTTACATTTTGTTCTTTGACCCTAGTTTTTTAAGGAATCATGTGTGGCTCATCTTTAAATATCATGACGCTATTATGATTTCGCAGTGAGTTGGTTTCATCTTTAGTTCACTGTTTGGAGCTCAATCTTGTTCAAGTTATGCTTGAGTGTAAATGTGTCTGATTTCATGAGAGCAAATTTTGCGATAAAGTTTTCTCTTAACAAATAAGTCTTTCTGATGATCCCTTTCAGTGCTTCTGGGACTATTCATGCTTTGAGAGCAGGAGGAGCTTCACATTCTAAAGAGGATCGGAACAAATCAACAGTAAGAGAAATCAATTCTAAACAGGGACTTCGTTCCGATGCAAGGAGTAGCGTTCTGCATTCTTCTCTTCATGAATCTAACAGCAACAAGGACACAGATGTTGCATCAAATCAAAAGGATTCATTGGAAAAGGATGTAAGCATACGATTGATGTGTTTTTAACCATTTATCAAAATTTTAAAGCGAAGTTGTACCTTTTGTATGATTTTATTAATATAAACTACATCGCACATTTGAATTACAGATCGAGCAACTTCAAATGCGGTTGCAGCAAGAGAAATCAATGCGGATGTTGCTTGAGAGAGCATTAGGTCGAACATCTAGCAGTTTGTCCCCTGGGCATAGGCATTCTGCAAATCACGTGAGTATTGTACAATGTACACATTCGATTCTTCATTGTTAATTATCTGCACCTCAAATTCAAATACCGAGTGTTTTGTTGATGTAGACAAAGGGGTTAATTGCTGAGATTGAATTACTTGAGGAAGAGGTTGTGAATCGCGAGCAGCATGTTCTATCTCTATACAGGTCCATTTTTGAACAATGTGTATCTTCCAAACAAACTTCAGTCCAGACTTCTCCTGCACATGCAATGAAGAAGGAATCAATATCAAGTTCAAGGAAGCATCCCACTATTATCTCCAGCACCTTTTGTTCTTCAAAAACCTTCCCTTTCCGAAACTTTCATGCTCTTTCCACCATGAATGCTGGGAAAGGAAGCTTATTGCACTCCAAGATAAGGCATAGCAAAGCTAACAGTTGCTCAGATGAAATAGTGAAGGTGTGAAAAAAAATATTATCCGCTTTACCTTTTTGGTGACAATTAACTAATAATGCATCTCTGAATGAATAGGAGATGAAGGGAAATCAGTCTTCATCCAGGAAGAAACCTTGTTTACAGTTAAGTTTAAAAGATCATCTTTACGAGTGCCCCAGCAGATTATCAGAAGAGATGGTAAAATGTATGGCTACTGCATACTGCTGGCTCCGCACTCCATCATCATCATCATCATCATCATCATCATCAACAACAAATAAGAAATCGTCTTCACTCTCTATTACCAATGGAGAGGATTGCAAGTCAATGGTTGAAATATGTTGGATATCAACTCACAACAACAACTTCTCTCGTGCATCTTATGCCATAAATAGTTATAGGTAACTAAGTCTTTATGCATGATTACTTACTAGTTACTATGTGATTTTATTATTAAACATGTATTCAGAGTTTTAGTGGAACAACTGGAGAGGTTGAATTTGAGCCAAATGGAAACAAATGCTCAGACTGCATTTTGGATCAATATGTATAATTCCATGATTATGCATGTAAGTATTTGCTGACTCAATATGTATAATTATTATTTCCTCTCTATTACCAGATCTTGATTTTGGTATTTGCAGGCATATCTGGCATATGGAATACCCCACAGCTCTTTGAGAAGGTTAGCCTTATTTCACAAGGTAGTGTACTTTCTGTTATCAAATTACACTTTTATTAATATGTCAATAATGTTGATTTCTCTCTGTGTAGTGCAGGCTGCTTACAAGATCAGTGGGCATGTAATAAGTGCAAATGCTATTGAGCAAGCAATACTTAGGTTACGCACCCCTAGGGTTGGAAAGGTACTACATCTTTTTCCATTTCATGAATCCTTCAACTAAATATGATAATTAGTTAGTGATAATTGTACATATAAACCAATTATACTTAGTGGCTGGAGACCATTCTTTCAACTGCATTATGGAAAAAATGTGGAGAAGAAAGACAACGTATTAGTACAGAGTTGGGTCTTGAGAATTATCAACCACTTTTGTGCTTTGCCCTTTGCACTGGAACTTCATCTGATCCTGTGGTAACTTTTTTTTCTCATTCTTTTATATTATTTTCTCTATTTCTATCATGGGATTATATCGTCTTCACTCGTTTGGCAGCTAAAAGTGTACACAGCATCAAACATCAAAGAGGAGCTAGAATTAGCAAAGAGGGAGTTCCTTGAATCAAACATAATGGTGAAGAAATCAAAGAAAGTTTTGATACCCAAATTACTTGAGAGATTTGGAAAAGAAGCCAACATCTGTCAAGAAGGTCTTCTCAAGTGGATAATGGAAAATGTTGACAAAAAGCAGCTTCGTGATTCAATAGAGAAATGTATGGAGCATAACAAAGGGGTAGGAGGCAAAAAGACATCCCACACCATTGAATGGATGCCTTATGATTCAAGATTTCGGTATGTTTTCTCCAAAGATTTAAGTGAAAAGCCTTGGTGGTTATGAATCTATTCTATGTATGTTCATTAGGAAGAAGGAATCATTGTACATATATGACAATTGGTCTGCCACACTTGCAATATCATCATATGACTGAGTGTTGGATTGTTTAATGAAGGAAATATGTAACGCTCCCCTTTTCTTATAATTTTCTAATTTTGGGTTAAATCTTACTCTTGCCCTACCAACTTTAAGGTTTTGATCCCATTTGGTCATCGATTGATTTTTCGTTCACTCTAGCTCCCTAAACTTTTTTAAAATTGATGTAAAAAAAGCCATGCTGGCCAATGTGAAGGGCTTGTTCAGTTTCCATGCTTACATGGCACGACATGTCATTTTAGTCACAAAAACACACCCACATGATGCCGACACGGCGTCCACATGGCTTTTTTTGTATTAATTATATCTTTTTCATTACTCATAAATTTATTATTATTATTATTATTATTATTATTACAAAATAAAATGTTCGCCACTACCACCCCTATCTTCAAGCTCTTCATCAAAATTTCCAACCTAAAATGATAAATTCTAGTTTGTTTAGTCTTTGTCTTCAAGTTGCAGTTCAATCGTATTGTTGTGATTACCCCAATCACTTTGTAGTTTTTTGTTGTCATGAATAAGCATGAATAAAGTCATACACACGAGACACATTATTTAACATGGTCCGGGTTAAGGTAACCTACATCTACATGTCATGAGAAAATATTCTTATTCACAAGCTCAAACGGCAATATAAAATATAATTAAAACCCTAACTAGCAAGTAGGTTGGAAATTAGACATAAAACCCTAAACAACAATTGGTGTTGGGTTTATTTCTGGTCCTCAACTCTCAAGTCACACTTAACATATATAACAAATATACAACAAGTAAGAAATGATTCCAAAGATTTAAAAAAATAATATCAAACTGAACGATATGTGAAAGCCAATAAAAGATTTAAATTGCTTATAAGTCATAATACAATGTTGTCATGAATAAGCATGAAATAAGTCATACACACGAGACTGATTATTTAACGTGGTTCGGTTAAGGTAACCATGAGAAAATATTATTATTCAAAAGCTCAAACGACAATATAAAATACAATTAAAACCCTAACTAGCAAGTAGGTAGCGAATTAGACATAAAACCCTAAACAACAATCGGTGTTGGGTTTATTTTTGGTCTTCAACTCTCAAGTCACACTTAACATATACAACAAATATACAACAAGTAAGAAATGATTCCAAATATTTAAAAAAATAATACCAAACTGAACGATATGTCAAAGACAATAAGAGATTCAAATTGCTTATAATTCATAATACAAGATTGAATTGTAGGATTAACCATTTAGGCACAAATTTACTCCCTCCTGACCCTGTCGATAAGCATCCGACTACCGCCACATAATAGAAAAATTTCCAATACTCGCTAGAAAAAGGAAAATTATACCTAATTTACAAACGATCACCGTCTCATATAATTGTGTTTCATAGTTAAGGGTGAATGTAGTCGTGCTTTTTGTGGCAATAGATGGGGTCGATACCTGCAGTACCTCCATTATGTGACGTGCGGATTCGAGAAGATGAGGGTCCAACCACATGGTAATCTATCCCAACCCACAAGAATGTAGCTATTATATGGCTATGTTTTCAAAAATATTTTTTTCGCTATATAAACCACCATCAACCGCTTCAAAAACCACACCAACCTTATACACTCTCTTTAATTCCATTCCAACATTTTTCTCTTCAAATTCAAATCTTGTCTATTAATGGTAAATCCAAAAAAAACAAGCTCTACCCAAAGAAGAAACCATTCAGGAGAATGCGGTTCGCAAGATTATCCAAGCTTAATTCACGAAATTCAAATCCCAAATTATCCCTAATAACTACAATATCAACACCAACATCAACAAATGTCGGTGGAACAATCTTATAACCAATTTTGGATTCTCTCAAGACTACCCTCGTTTATAATAAGTTCCCATAAAATCAAACTCCATATTCCATCCTCGAAACCCCTATGCCATATTGCGTTCCTAACATATAGCATTTTGGTGATCCCGAAAACAACAAATTGTTAAAACAAAACGCAACCCATCCCTCAAAACCAAAATGACAAATCAAGCGAAGAAACCTAACGCACCCCTCAAACCAAAGCCAAACCCGCAAGAAATTTTACCCGACGGGTAAAACAACGACCATGGTAAGAAAGAGAAGAAGTGACGATGTCCAAGGATTTTATTAGTGTTTCAGAAGACGAAGAACTGGGAAATCATCAACAAGTAGACTTATTTTGGCAGCGAGTTCCAGAACACTTCAGTACGCAACTTCGTTATATCGGTCGTACTCAAAATGGAAGGATTTGTAGGAGAAATTTAACAACTTCAAGCATCTACAACAACAAGTGCAACATCCATGCTAGCAAGAGATCAAACGTCGATGTTTTAAAGTTAACACAAATTAAGTATCACAAAGTCTTCAGATCAAAACCTTTTCAACATTCGACGACACGGGATATTCTAAATCACCATGCGAAATGGCTAACCATTAGCGTAATGGGTGAAAATCTTCACATCCTTCATAAAAATGACCAAAACATTTGACTTCATCACATACACAGCCTCTTTGGATGCCCAAATTTTCATCACTTTAACAAGGAAACTGATGAGTTTCATGTTGTAGAGTTTCATGTTGAATAACCACAAACTCGACAACGAAAAAGGGAAGAAAATGGTATATGCATCCTCATCGCTAGATGATATCAGAACCCTCGTGAATCAAAGCAACCATAGCGCCTACACAAACGACAAAGAAGAGGAAAATAAAGAGCGTCGCCGAACTAATAAATTGTGTAAATCGGAGGAGTCTTTAAATAAAAAAAACTAATCTTGGATGAGGAGTTACACATTCTGAAAGAAAGACGTTTTGAAAAAGATACACAATTCTTTCTTAAGCCGCATGATCATTTGATTAGAAGATGTTAAATGTGATGCTTGCAAAAAAAAAAAAATCTTTGCACCGATTCAATTTCGGGAGTGGTAGATTTTTTTAAGGATTTAATTATCATTTTAGGATTTCAAGTATCATTTAACCATTTCATTTATCGTTTTTAAGCTTTAACTTTTCGTTTGTAGTAGAGTGTTTATTGAATGAAACATTATTTTTAATTTTAGTTTTATTTATTTAATTTTAAGTTGGTAAATATTTTAATATTTTTTTAAAAGAAAATTGTGTGCATTGGAAAAGATGGAGTATTTGTGTTATAGTTGTGAAGGATAAAAATGAGAGAAAAAAAAACTGATGTAAAGCTTATTAGGTGACACGATGATCGAGAGAGTTGAGGAAGATGTATTGTGACATCCCCATTTTCTCGGCCAGAAAAACTGATTTTGTTTATGCTTTATAAAAATCAGAGTACCTCTTTTAATAAAAATGTTGCGGAATTTGTTCCCAGTAAAACATGATAAATACGTTATCAAAGCATTTCCGAAGAAAAGTATTTTTATTCATTTTAAAACATTTGGGATGTCATCGTCAATACAGAAACATAAGCATAAACAGTACTTACATTCATTATCACTAGTGATTTATATCTCCTTAATCTCTCAGTGTAATGTGACTTCATATCAACACCTGTGATATAAATAAACTGAGTGGGTCAGGTTGGGAAACCTGATGAGTACATAGGGTTTTCAACCCACAATAAATAAGTTTATTAACTTTATCAAACCAAACAAACCCGATTACCCGTTCCCGTTATCCTCACTTTACGTCCCTAAAACATCTAACACAAGGGACCTAGTCTAAGGGACTTTCATCGGGGTGACAACACATGCTTCAGGGGGTTCCTCAACAATTCATGTCAAATAAGGCAACCATGTGGGGGATGGAGTACTGCTGGTGAGCACACAGTTCAAATAAACACCTACAGGTTGCGAGTCTGCTAGCGTTCCACTGGACTGTCTAGAATAGTCTGTGGTCGTCATCTATACTCCGCTAGATGACTGGATCATCAATAACATCTATATCGAGGCCTCCCATTATTTTATTTGGTCACACAGCAACTATTACATCTATCCATGTTTTACCCAACACGTTTTGTAGATGTAAAATACATATACAATTTAAATCATTTAAAACGTGTATAGAAATATTTCACCCAGCATAGACAGCAAGTATTCAGACAATATGCACACATAGCACATAATTTATATTAAATACTTCATATCTATGTGTAAGATGAAAGGGACCATGCACTCACTTGAAAATGTGGTGATTCCGAACTCAGACAGCGCTTCGCTTCTTAAAAATAATTTCTTTCGACGAAACCTAGTATTATTACCACTAGAGTTTAGTATATTATTCGCCGAGACTAATTAATAGTCTAGCTATTATTACTATTATATAAGCGTTAAAAAATACTTATATAACCCATAATAATAGCCCAAGTACTTATTATAAGTTCCTAATAACGTTACTATAATTAAATAAAAGCTATATTAAAAATAGCGTAGGTGTAGCTCACTTACAGCGGGTTTTATAAAAAACCGGGCTTTGCTTGGAGCAGCGTTCCCGAGCCGAAGATCTCTTCTTCTCGGAGCCGACGAGCACTCCGGGGCTTCCGCCTCGTGCTAGGGAGGTTTCCTAGGTTTTTCGGGGGGTTTCGGGGCTAGAGAGAGGTTCTAGAGAGAGAGAGAGAGAGAGAGTAAAGAGAAGAAAGAATAAGAAATGTGTGAAGAAAATGAGGGTGGGAGAGGTTCTATTTATAGGGTGAAAAAATGGTTGAACTTGGTGCCACATGTCACCATCTAGTGGCAAGACTTGGGGAGAAAGCAATGGCCAAGATTGTGCCACATCACCCATTTTCGCACAGCACACTTCCGACTTCTAAAATCCGTAACTTTCACATACGACCTCCGTTTTTGACGTTCTTTATATCCACGCGTAGGTAAAAATAAGATCTACAACTTTCATTTTGACTCCGTCGGCTAATTCTCGACTGATCTTAAATTTAACAGTACGAGGATATTATACTGTTAAATGTTCGCGTAAAATTCATAACTTCTACATACGGACTCTGTTTTCGTCTGTCTTTTTACCGTTGAGTTCCTATTAATGAAATCTTCAATTCTCATTTAGGTCGCGTAGGCCAAAAACCGCTCGATCTAAAATTCGAGTTTCGGGTTGTGCACTGTTAAGCCAAATCTTAGAAAATTCATAACTTCCTCATACGAAGTCAGATTTGGGCGTTCGTTTTTTGTATGTTCTCGGTTTAACGTATACTACAACTTTTGTTTAGATTTCTAAGGCTAAAAAAGTCCTCCATCGTAAATTCACTATTTACGTCTCCCAATGTCGTGCCGGTTTTGCCGTAAAACTTCGACGGACCATAACTTCTTCGTTATAACTCGGATTTCAACGTTATTTATATGTACGGAACCCTTGAGACGTATTCTACAACTTGGTTAAGATTATTTATTCTAAATAATCTTTTGTCAAAAAGTCGTTTTCGACCCCTATTATCTCTAAATTGACTAGCTCGGATCTATGGGCGTTACATGTATTCCCTCCACTCTAACAAAATTATTGAAAAGAAACTCAAAACAAAAAATTAAATAAATATAAAAACAAAAATCCATATTCATCCATAATTTTTATGCCCTAGAGAAGCAGAAGTTCTATATTGTGGAAATAAATAAATAAATAAATAAACACAAATTCATGGGGAAAAAGTCGATTAAAACAAATTAAGCAACCAAAGTTCAATGATGTACAATATAGAAGTATCGCGGGGGAGTGCTTGGAATTTGTGGCTTATATTGCTCATAAACTACTAGATTCTAAGGTTGTTACTCGTTTTATTACTGATTTTCGGAAATCAAGCGTTTTAAAATACTGGGGCAGGAGTGTTACACATTTTTCAACAAAAATACATTCAGAAAATCTTACAATCATTCTATTTTGATCAGTCCAAACCAGTTGGAACTCCTTTTGTAACACATTTTAAAATTGGTCGAGGTACTATACCAACTACATAGGAGAAAAGAAATTACATGAACATGGTTCCATATTCGAGTGTTGTTGGAAGTCTCATGTATGGGATGGTATGTACCATACCTAATTTGGATCACAAGTTAGTGCAGAAGCAACTTTATAAGTAATTCAAAAATGTCATCCGGAAGCAGTCAAGTGGATTATGCGATACTTGAAGGGAATTTTTGATGTTTGTCTGTTGTATGTGCTAACACATGAAATAGCGACTTGGTTAGATATGCAGACTCAAACCATGGTGGTGATCTGTTGAAAATAAGATAACTTACTTGTTATATTTCCACTTTATATAGATGTGCTATTAGTTGGAAGTCAATGTTATAGTCTACCGTTGCATTGTCTACAACTGAAGCCGAATACATGTATAAACGAGTGTATATGGTTAAATGGTTTAGTTGAGAGTCTTAGATTAAAGGTGGAAAAGCCTATCTTATAATGTAACAGTCAGAGTGCTTTGTGTCTTGCGAAAAATCCAGTTTACTATGAGAAGACAAAGAATATTGAAGTCAGGTTGAATTTCATTCATGTGACATTCTGGAGGAAGACAAATTGTCTATCTTGAAGACTGATACTAAGTTTAATCCAACAGACAATTTGACAAAGTCATTTCTCACGGAAAAGTTCAAGCTTTGCTTGGACTTAGTAGATGTTCGTAGGAGTTAAGTCCCTACGAAGAGATTGGCAGGAGGAAGCTGGAAGTTTTTGGTTTTTAGAACTTGGAGTACTAAAGACTTGAAGACATAATGGAGCATTTGGATTAAGGTTGAAGCTTTTGGCCAGATGCGTTAGAGGCAAGCCAAAAGCACTCCAACATGCGGGACAAGCCAAATGTGTTGTAGGCTTTTCCAAATACGCTAGAGGCATGGCCTAATGCACTCTAACATGGTTTACTATTCTACAGCATGACCAAAGGCACCGGGCTGGTCCCTCATGTATGGGGATCGCTTTGGAACTTCAAGAATGCATTGACTTTCTCCAAATGTGCACTCTTGGTGCAAATGTGCTTTTTGGTGTAAATATGATCTTGATATAAATGTACTCACTTAGTTTAAAAGGTGCTCTCAACTGCATGGTGTCTTATGATTGGTTGGCATCCACTTGGGCCTAAAAATGGATGGGCCTAGGCCATCAAAGTTTTATGTTTGATTATTAGTCTATAAACAGGGTCTGCGAGATAACATTTAAATGGTGGTCCTTTTGTGGTCTTTAGTCTGTCTTGACTGTATTTGCACTGTTTATCTATGTTTAAGCCCCTGAATGAACCATGTTAAATATTGTGCCTTTGTGTGTGTGTAATCTTTCTCGTTTATTCCCGACAATCTTTGATTAAAAAACTCAACTAACAGACATATACTGAAATATTAAAACATAACGATCAAAAAACTAACTTCTTATTATAATGGTCAAACAAATTATCCCCTCACCAAAAGAATAGAGATTCACAATCATGTTAAGTTTTGTTCATTAATATAAGAGTATACTTTAACTATGGATACAATATTTTGTAAATTGCATGGTTATCGTTAAGATATATTCATAACACAAACACCTTTTATAAAACAAAAACAAAACAAAGCCTACATGATTTAGGTGCATAATACTAATTCAACGTGCATACTTGGTATTATGGTAAAAATTTTAAGACTCAAGATTGGATATCATTCTCGTTGTTCTTGTAGACATTATGATTTATCTTTTTGTTGTTCTTGTAAGATTATAATCTAGTAATTTACCTAACGTGTTTCGTGGAACTGGTTAATATCTCCTACCTATAAAAAAATGAATATTCTACATAATTGTATGTCAATGCCATATTAGAATTTTTATAAATATATAGGAAACAAAATTAATAATCTAAACATGACAAGTGACAACTAATCCCTCTACCTAATCCGTTAAATAGAATATCTTATCCTAATCTTCCCTAATCATAATTTATAAACTAAACTTTCCATTTTTAAATCTATTGCAAATTAAATCAGTTGTATTAAGTTGTATTAAATGTTGTCATATAAGGTTGTCAACTTGTCATATTCATAAAATTTGTAAATCATAGATATTAGTTTTTTTTAACTGAAAAATATAAATATATAATTTATTCCTAAACTAAGACCTAATTTTATTTATGTTCACGACGAGACTTAAACCATCGACCTCAAATAGGGAGGACACCATATGATACCGCCGGACTAGAAGCCCTTTGGTCATAGATATTAGTTATGCTTCAAAATTCTCACTATGTTTTGGGTTTTTCAGATTTACATAATTCTATTATTTTTGGAGCGATTTAACAAGTGAGATTAGAGTTATTCGACATATTTATTATGCAATTTTATTTTAGTTTGTTAATATCAATAAGTGTAATCTTAAATGGGTTGGTTGGCAGGGCCGACCATGAGGAGGTTGGGGGGGGGGGGTGCGACCGCACACGACCCATGTCGTGATAGGTGCCCAAAATTTAGTTTACATACTAGAAGCATTAGAATCAGCAACGGGAATTTTCGTTGAAAATTCGTCGCTAAAGGCCAACAATGATAGATCATCAACAAAATTAGCGACGTATTGGTTTGTTGCAAAACACTTTGGAATCAGGTGGCTTCTGTCGCGATTCCGTCCCAAAATATCGTCGTTTATTATATATACATATTAAACTTGGACCATGCTAGGGAATAGTAAACTTCATTGTTTTTTGTCACAAATGGCCCTCACTTTATACCGGGGTTTTCTAATTTGGAATGGTTTATGTTCTGGGCGGTATTTGACGTTTTCCTCATATTTTCGCCTGCTTACCCTCCACGTGTTTGTTGTATGCTTTCTTAGCCGTTTTCCTACCCAATTACGCTTGGATTGCTGTACTTCTTTTCCTTTTTTTTTATTTAATTTAAGACCATTGGATGTGGGCAACAAGATGCAACATCAAGTTGTGTCATCTCACATGCCATATAAGCAAATAGTGTTATAACACCGAGTGGGGAAATGAACAACAAGATGTAACACAAACTTTTTGAGAATAAATATGTTTTATTTATTTTTTTATTTTTTGTTTTGACTGTTGACAACGGCTAAAAAGAGGGCAATGTTCATATTTTTACTCGTTGCTTTAGGTTGTAACGGCAACAAGAAGCCCCATGACAAGAAGCAACTAGATGCCGGGTAGCGTACAACAAGATGCAATGCGCGTCCACCTCAGCCACACTGAGCAAATCTTGTACCCACAACCGTATGCTCTAAGGGGTGTGTTACGCCTTTTACTTCCCGACCCTTCCGCCACCGCTCACTTTATCTTTCCCTCATCGCTCCACCGTCTTCCTTTTATCTCTGCTCCAAATTCCCTCCAAACTGTCGGTCATTTTGCTCTTCTCGATCCTTCCCACTGCTCACCTCCCATTCACACTGTTCGTGGAGTATGTTTAATCCGACAACTGTTCATCATGTTAACCGATTACCGCCTCAAAACCTTCTTCATCTGCTTCTCACTCTATTTGCTTCCGACTCTATTTGCTTCCGACTCTGATCGATATCGGCATCGGCAGGAGTCGGTCGATTCATCCTTTATTTTGCATCCCCGGTTGGTGTCTGGTTTGCCCTAATCTTCTTTTGTTTCGAATTTCGAGTGGAAAAGAATGAGTGAGGTGCAGAGGTTGGACGCGACAGATAGGGAAGCATCCGTTTTGGGTCTTTACAACACGAGTTAGGGTTTAAATTTGACGAATTTGACTTTGTTTGTTGATCTGTCGAAATAAGGTTCCCGGTTGGATTTCAACTCTCTCATAGATGCTTACACAAGAGCCAAGTTCCAGTATGTTTTCCTCCATCTGTTGTGCATGCATGCCTGTTGTTTCCTCAAATCCAAATATGTTGGACAAAAGCAGACGACGTTGACAGCTGTGGAACCAAACCTGTTATTTTTTCATCAACCATGTAATTATTTATTTATTTTTTCATTATGTAGGTTTTTTTATCTAGGGCATGAAGCTAATATATCTGTTTCAATCTATTTGTAGAGGAATTGCCTCTGTGATTCTTCAAGAACGAGGCGTTTGGGTATTATTGAAGTTTGTTAATTTTCAAAATTACAGTGGCTTCTTCTTTCTTACATTCTGTTTATTCCAGATTCTACGTTGTCGCACATAGACACAGAAGTAAGCTACAAGAGCGACTCCAAAACTAGGGTTTTTTTTACACGTCTCTGATCGGTTCCTTGATTTCTATCAGGTAACTTAATTTGAAATTATATTTTGCTGAAACCAGATCTTGGACATTATGAAATCGTGTGATTGTGTTACATGAGCTTGATTTATGATGTTGAGCAGCAGTTGGTGTGTTTTCTATTTCTTATGATACTGTTAGGGTTACCATCTTGTGATCAATAACAAAGCCTAATTTGAATGCAGATTGGAAATAAAGATGCTATCGAGAAAGATCATGGTCGGACGTAAGTATTATGATTTGTTGCATAATTGTACTTAAATCTTCATTGGATTATTGATCTAAGATGTGGTTGAATTTTTGTTGAAGTCTGTGGCATTTTGGCTAAATATGAAATGAATAGGAGATATCTTGGTAATATGGCTGAACTCAAACAACATGTTCGTAAGGTAAGACAAGTTTTAATAGATTGTTAAAGCAAAAGATGAGTTGTTTATTTGAATAAACGTGATTTGGTCATGTCATTTGCAGATTCTCATGACAAATAAGGTTATAATTCCAGCAAAGCTTTGAAGTTCCCTCACCTAGAAGTAAATTAATCAAATGGCAAATGTTATAATTCCGCGCAACTTTACAGGTTCTGTCCCTTTCACCATAACGTATTGGTGGTGTTACAATTGTTGTTGCTATATTACTTCTTGAGCCTGGTTTCTCCGTCCCTGTTATCTGTTACCCTCAGCATTGTTTGTTCAGGTGTTTTATTTTATTTTATTTTTTTGCAGATTAGCAACAATCTGGTAAGCGTAAGGATGATTTCACAAAAACTAGGATCCTGTTGTTGGACTCGATTTGGTCGTATATGATACTGTAAGAGGAATTTTTAAAAGACTTATAGTTCAAATTTGTAGACTTTTGTTATTTATTTTAAATAATGTTTTTAAATTTTTTTTTGTAGGTGTTGAATGTGTGTACTTTCTCCAGTCAGTGGAAGGGAGTTTCACGGGTGTTTGAGGAGTTGAGAAAAAGTGGTTTAAAACTCATGGGAGCAACTTATGGAATTGCAATGGAGGTACATTATTTTGTCGCAACATTGATATAATTTTGAATTTTGGTGATATTTCGATGCAGAAGACGTTTTTTATTTACCGTTAATATGCATGTCCTCTTTATTTTTTGATAAAAAAATGATTTTAACAGTTTTGACCAAACTGCCCCTACATACTGTTCTTTTGTTAAAAAAATAATTATTTCAAGAGTTTTTAATGAAAATGCCCCTACATACTTTTACTTTTTATTAAAAAATAATGATTTTTAACAGCTTTTTGTCCAAAATGCCCCTATATAATGTTTTTTGGGTATGAAATGCTAAAAGGTGCCAATTAAAAACCTACATCAGGTTAGTCATTTTATTTATTTTATTGGTCAAAATATCTATTTTTATTTATTTATATATTATTGGAACTTTTATAATGCAACTTTTAGAGTAAAAAAAGTCGAAAAGTACGATGTCATAATAGAATAAAATGGAAGTAAGATGCTACTGTACAAAAATGAATGAACGTATGCTAAATCCAAAAACAAACAGTCAATGAAGCGAAGATTTTGTTAGCTGGGACATCATCAAAGCCGAAAAAGTACAACCCGGTGCAGCTACATGTTGTGAGATGTTTCAATTCCACTTTTGACTATTTTGCCCCTGTTGTGCTTTGGTGGAGTTTGACATTTCTGATGTTGCTACATACATTTGGTAAGTATGCCATGGGTTAGATGATGTTGGTATGTGGTAAGGAAATGCAAACCCTTAGCTTTTTTTTTATTTCAATATTTTCAATAATCTTTGCTTTTTTTTTTTTCAAGATTTTCATATTTGCTGCATTTAAACACATACATTACACATTTGTCATTGACATTATTTCAAATAGTAAAAAAAATCATTTTTCAAAGTGATAAGAAAAAAAAAAAACTGCCGGTATGATTAAAAAATAAACAACCCAACAAAATTACATTGTTGCATATTATGTATTTATCAACACCAGTTTAGCCTGATTCTAATAACATATTTCAATACAGTACAAAAAAAAATATAATTTTCTTATTTTAATGCAATTGTTTATTACCGGTTGGTTGTCCAGCTCCCCTTTGATTTTTTTTTTTCGTTTTTATATTGTGAGAAATAGCAACGTACTTAACCTCTATGCTTTAATTTTTACCCATAATACCAACTTACTTAAAATTTTCTATTGGTTATAGAAAATTTTAACCTTTTGGTTTTTTCTTCGTTATGTGGCATGAGATCAAATGCTTGCAAAAGATTGGATGTGCATTTCCTTCTTCAAGGAGGCTGAAGACACGTTATTGTTGGAGAATATTGTAATGGTCACTTCCATTTAGCGTATTCTCATATCTTTTCATTAAATAAAGTTCATTGCTTGCAATTGTTTAGAAGTTAATAATAATAATTCATATGATTTGATGATTCATGTGTTGTTTCTTCTATTTATGGCTTCAATAAACTACTTATTATGACTTTTTGTTGTACGGCACTCTAAAGACTATGAAGATTATAGTTCTCATTTGTTATGACAAGTTTTCTCACTGTGGGAGAAACAAAAAAGTCACTAATTGCGGGGTCACTCATCTAGTTATGTATAAATGAATAGTTTTTCTGTTTCAGTCACAAATATAATTAGCGATGGTCGTCTATTAGTTGTCAAATTTTATTGTAATATTAATGAATTTAGCTTATATATATAAAAAAAGTTATATTTAGAATCGCAAATTTACTCTTCGCAATAAACACATCGACCATATTAGTTGGCTTCAAAACTCTATTATTATCATTTCCTGTTTGTAATGTGATTTTCATTGCATCAGCGTTTTTTAGTTTTATAATACTTAGCCGTTCCAAAAAAAAAAAAACTTATTTTAAAATTTATAATATAAAATAATGAAAGTTATGTTATAATAAAATTTCTTTTATTCATACAAAAATAAAAAAAATTGAAAAATAAATATATTTGATTGAATACAATGTGCTAATAGACGACATACTACAAGGTTGTTAACTTAAGTGGCCTAGATCCTAGTTCAAATTTCTATTAAAATTGTCAAAGGCAATTTTGTTGAATAATGTGAAAACCCGAAATTAGGATTAGGTGTATTGAAATAATATATATAGGATACAAGATACACAATCGGTCCCTATACTATACAAATTAATAAAATATAGTTAAACTATTTAACATACCTCCGTAGTTTGAACTGGAGAATCTCTAATGTCTAAATTATTTCTAAAATCAAGAAATAACTGAGTAGGTATACTCTTTGTGAATATATATATATATATATATATATATATATATATATATATATATATATATATATATATATATATATATATATATATATATACTGATAAGCGGACGGGACATGCAAAACACATACATGACCAATCACAACACGTTCCCTAACAAAATGTAAGTCAATTTCACATGTTTGGTTCTTTGATGTTGAACTGGGTTAGATGCTGGACAAGTGGCACGAACATTATCACAAAAGACAACAGTGGCATATAAGAGCGGACAAGATAATTGAAGCAGAAGATTACGAAGCCGGGCAGTTTCAACAACTACATTTGCTACCCCCTAGTACTCGGCTTTGACACTAGAACACACGAAAACATGTTGTCGTTTAGAGGACCAAGAGACGAGGTTATCTTCGATATAAATACAAAAACCCGAGGTGGACCAATGCATGGTAGGACAGCCGACCCAGTCAACATCAGAATAAGAGATCAAACGGTCAACATTTGACGGACGGGGGAGAAGACCATGCATCAATGTACCTTGAAGTTACCGCAAAATACACTTGAGAGCATGAAAGTGTGGGGCACGCATGTCATGCATGAAAAGGCAGACCTGTTGCACATCATACACAATATCAAGACGAGTGAAAGTCAAGTATTGCAAAGCTCCAGGAAGAGTACGATAGAGGGTAGGATCATCTACCGGATCACCGCCAAGAACAAGTTTGCTTTTGGTGTCAGCAGGGGTACTGCAGGGATTGCACGTGGTCGTATTGGCACGAGCAATGATCTCCTTAGCAAAGGAAGATTGAGAAAGAAAGAGGCCAAAAGAGTTATGAGTGGCAAAAATACAAAGAAAGAAGGAAATAGGTTCGAGATCAGACATTGTAAGTCAGAGGAAAGTTCATAGATGACCTAGGAAATAAGAGTAGGAGAAGCGGCGGTAAGAATGATGTTGTCAACATATAGAAGGAGGTAGATAGTAGCGGGGCCGCGACGATAGGTGAAGAGAGAGCAATCAAATTTGCTACTGATAAATCCAAGCATGGATAAATAGACAACAAAATGTTGATACCAAGCACGAGGAGCTTGCTTTAGCCCATAAAGAGCTTTACATAAACGACATACATGATCTAGAAATTGACTGTTGACATAGCCAGGAGGTTGATGCATGTAAACAGTCTCAGTTAAATCATCGTGAAGGAAAGCATTTTGACATCAAGCTGATGGATGGGCCAATTGCAAGAAATGGAGATGTTGAGAACAATACGGATGACGACTGGTTTGACAATAGGATTGAACGTGTAATCAAAATCCAGGCCCGACGGTTGAAAAAAACCTTGAGCAACAAGGTGACCTTTGTAGCGATCCAAGCGACCATGGATGTCAAAGTTGTGACAATACAACCATCGACAAAACACAATATTAGCAAATGAGGGTTTTGGAACAAGATCCCAAGTGTTTTTGGAGAGAAATGCAGACATTTCAGAATTCATAGTTGCATGTTGTAACATCCTGTTTCAAGAAGTTTCCTATTTCATGAATTGTTGATCAATGGGCAATTAATGAATCAAATTAGGGCCCTAGACTTCAATGGGATTGGGTTATAGACCCAATTGGATGTGGATTATCTAGGTTATGTGATCCAAGCTCTTGGAATGTATTTTGGAATCAAAGGGTATAATGGTGAAAGCAATGCTTCAGACTTCTCCTCAAATTAAGGATTCTAGTTTGGTAAGTATTAAGTCAAAGGAGATTAAATGGGATTGTAGGTCTTTTCTTTACCTTTCCGAGCATATAAAGAACGCCGAAAATAGAGTTGGGACGCATAAGTTATGACCATTGGAAGTTAGGAAGGAAATGGGTGTTGGTCAGTATGATGGGCATACTGCATGAAGGAAGTGCGGTCATCCTTTGAGTACGTCGGGCGTATATATGGTACGTAGGGCGTACTCACATGATTCTTAAACCTAAAATTTAGGGTTTGGACCTTATATAACCTCATTATCTCCCTTGAGGTTAACCTCATTAATTTTGAAACCCTTATCTTTGAGAGGTTGTTTTGGACCTTCAAAGTGTTCTTGGTGCTTTGTCGAAGAAGGATAAGCTCATCCTTGGGGATTTTTGCGGCTAGAGCTTCGAGATCCAGGACTTTTATCATCTTTGCAAGCTTTTGGAGGTATAAAGCTTCAAACTTTATGGCTCTTTAGTGTAGATCTAGTTTTGGGTTAGGTTATGAGCATGTTTTGGTCCCATGGCTTGGATCTTGTGAGTAAAAGGTACTTCAGAACCTTTGAGCCTCATTTCTAGCCATTTATGAGGTCATTAAGTCATAGAAATTGAATCTTGATGGGTATATCTCTTCCATGCATGAGTTAGTGGTCTTTTGGTGAAGTTATGAATCTAGGGCTTTGGTTTGAACACCATTAAGCCATGCAAAGTCATAAAGTCAGGAACTTTATGACTTAAGACATCCCTTAGAGTTAGATCTGGGAGTTGGACTTTAAGTCTTAAGGTATTAAGACTTGGAGTGGAGTTTAGGTAGCAGCGACGTACACTGGGCGTACCTTCCCAGTACGTTGCGTGTAACAGGTTTCAGCCCATTACCTCTTCTTCGAGCACACATTACATTGGGCGTACAATGGTGGTACGTGGGGCGTACTCACCAGAATCCATTTTGGGCTTTGGGTCATTTTGGGTTTGGGCCATGATTTGTTGGGCCAAATATGGGAAGGGTAAAATACTCTTTTACCCCTTAGCATGATAGAATATGATTGGACCTTTGATTATGGGTTATTACCATAATTATTGATTAGGATTGATATTGGATATGTTCAATGTGAGAAGCCGTGGTAGCAGAAACTCGAGTGTGTGATTTGTTGACTTCGGTTTGAGGTGAGTCTCCTCACTATACTTGTGGGTCGAAGGCACCAATGCCGACCCACTGGAATGTGTTATGTATAATGCTAGCTGTCTTTGTGAATCTTGCTTTTTATATTAGGTTGGGCCTATTGTATGATGGGTTGGACCCATTGCATGAGTGGGCTGGGTCTATTGATTAGGAAGGGTTAGGCCCAATATGCGGGCTAGGCCCAAGAATATGTATGGTATGTGGTATTTTGGGGAACTCACTCAGCTTTGTGGTTATAGTTTCATGTTTATGGTTTCAGGTACTTCCGGTTCGAAAGGGAAGGACTTGGCGTGACTACACAACATCCCCTAGAGTTTATTTCGTAGAGGTTGTTTATGATTTTTACTATGATGTTTAAATACTATTCTCCACCTTGAATGTTTTGGGAATAAGTTGTTGCATGGATCAATGTTTTTGAAAAATGAAATTTTTTCCATGAATTTTTGGGATGTTACAAAGGCCAATGTGGATCACACATAGCCTGAGTCGTGGAGGGAGGAATAGGACATATGTCGAAGGTGGAAGATAGGTTGAAGAGATCATGTGCGAGATCTGGTGACCATAGGGTGCCCAGAAGGAGGGGGCAGGATATGGTTACGTGTTAGATAAAGAAGGTGAAATAGGAGCTAAGGGACCAGTAGGAGAGGGAGAGTCTGATGGAGCAGAAGTAGCCGGCGATGGAGTAGAGTCCGATGGAGCAGAAGTGGCCAGCGATGGAGTTGGAAACATAGATAAGAGAGAGATAGAGTCATCAGAATCAAAGGAAGCATAGTCAGAATGAGGAGGAGAAGGATGAAAATCAGAATAAGCGAAGTGAGATTCATCAAAGACTACATGACGGAATAATATAACTTTTTGAGTGATGAGATCAAGACAACGATATCCACGGTGGCTAGTGCACGGACCAAGGTAAACATAAATAGAAGAGCGAGGAGCGAGTTTATGAGGAGTTTTCGAATATGTATTGGGGTAACAAAGACTACCAAAAACTCTAAGATAAGAGTAGGTAGGAGAGAAGCCAAAAAGAATTTTAAAAGGAGTTTTGAAGTTTAAGGTAGAAGTAGGAAGAAGATTGAACATATGAGTTGAAGATAGAAGGGCTTTGACCCAAAACTTATGAGGAAAGGATGCTTGAAACGACGATGTACAAACCATATTATTGATGGTTCGAATGGTGCGTTCAGCTTTGCCATTTTGTTGTGAGGTGTATGGATACAAAAAGCGAATT